GCCCTCGATTTATTTATCTTGGAGAGAAGTTCGCACCGGCTGTGGGGATGGTTTATCATCCTCGTGCAGCGGCCCTCTACGGCATCGTATCTCGTTGCTCTGGCATCGATAGATATACAAGGTGTTTCGCAAGTTTATATCAAGCTTGAACCGTATATTTCCCAAAAATTTTAAATATAAAAATAATCTTTTTTAGGATCTTTCCTCTTATATTTGAATTGTATCTCTGTGATTAGTGACGCGATAAGAAGATCAGTTCTTTTTGGAGATAAGTCTTTTCATTATTTCTGAGGAAGCTATTGGTTTATGGCTTATAGATACATTTTAACTTTTTAAAAATATAATAAAAATAAAAGTATAATAAAAGTATAATAAAAAATAATGTCAAATTATGATTATATATTTTGTACTAGAAAGAATATTTATAACTTGATGAATGTAAAATACATATACATAAAAAATACATTAAAAATTCCGAAATATCTTGATAAAAATTAAACTTTAGATGTAACAGATGACAAATCTCTATTCTTTACTCAATTTCAAGCGAGCTCAATATTAGCAGAATCTTAATTGCAGCGCAGTTCGTACATTTAATACGTTCAAGATTTGAAAATTACGGACAATCTTGCGCGAATTTATCGTAGAATATCCACTTTCAAAGTTTGATACGAACCTTAGCGGTGCACCCTGTATAAGGGAAAATCGTGCCAGGTTGATGCCATCGGTGCCGGGGCGCAATTGGAGAGCAATCGACTGAACGACACGCCGCAAATCAAATCGTATCCGCGTGCGACTCTACCCTCTTCGGGCTACGCAGCGTCATCCTCCCCTTCGCTTCGTCCCCTTTGCGCTGGATGTTGTCCGCCATCCTTTCGGATGCATCTCCGCCGCGCTGTGTCCTCTCAATTCGAGTCGACGCTTCTCCGCCTCACTCGAGCGATTTCGGCAGCTGCTGCGACCGATGCATCACGTTTGCGGGACGTTTCTCGCGTTGCACGCGCTGCTACTGTTAATTGCGTCGATTGTTTTCGGGTTGCCGATCGTTTGGCAGCGACGAATAGTTATTGAATAAGCCAAAGAGGATTAAATGGAGAAGAAGTTACGCAGCGATACGTCGTAGATTTACAGTACTCTGTGGTGGAAAGAAAAACCACTCTGCAAAAGCATTCTTTTTTTAACTGACTTTTACCGGAATTTTTTTGCTACATAGTTTCAATTATCTTAATAAAAATAAGTTTGCTTTGTTTTTAAATTAATTAATGAAATATTTGATGATATTTTATACATATATAAAAAAACATATATAGTTAATACAATTTTAAATATTTAAATTTTTTACTTTATGATATAATGAAAGAGAGAGAGAGAGAGTGTGTGTGTAAAATTAAAATATTATATAAGTATATAAAAAAAAATAAATATTATAATAAAAAATATAGAATTATATTTTAATGCATAATGTATATATAATATGGTATCTATCATAAAATATTGACTTATATATATATATTGTTTCATCTTCTTCGTCGAGAGAATTTTTCGTTTCAAAAATGATCAACGTAATTTCCAGACTAAATTATCAATTTGTACATTGTAATACGCCTTCAAAATTAGCGCATTACAATAACAGGTCGATCGGATGTTTAATTCATGTCGGTTAGTTGGAATTCGCGTTTATGCTTGTGTTACGCATCCAATTGCCGATACATCGGTTTTGTTAATCGGCGGGTTTAACCGGCGCTACTCCTTTGTATGCAAGTTCGACCCGTTCAATTATTTCCGCGTATAACGTCGCGCTCCTGGTGCACGCATCCCGCGCATTGCATATCCCGTTATTGCTGATTGAATCGATCGGTTTTAATTTCGCGGTTAGCGGTACCGTAAATCAAGCTATCGGCTATACGCTCCCAATCTTGATCCCTGTTAAATCACATGATACTCCTTAATCTGAACGTCATATTCTACTTTTTCTTTAAAGATTATAAAGATGATTAATAGCGTCTTGTTATTATTATTAATGGCAAAATGTTTTTAAATCGTCTCTCTCATAATTTTGCGTAAATTAAAACTTCAATCTACGCACGAATTAATATTTATCGAAAAATTTGATTTTTAGGAAAAATAAAATGATTATTATTAACGACAAGTTATTGCTTTGAATCTAGTTATTTAAGATAACAGCTTATTAATTGATTACACAATTATATCACGATATTATTAACGATCTAGCGTCAGAAAAGAAAACGTTCGACGTTATTATCGGGCAGTTGTATCAAAACGCGTAAATTCGCTCGCGTAAAATGCATCTTGTTAATCTCATTGTACAATTACGTCGTAAATACTATCCGCCATGACAAACATCAGTTTGGACCGCGCGATCGTGAGGGATTAAATCGGCACGGCCATTGTTTGGTATCGAACTCGTCGATGATTTCCGCGCGTGTACACGCCGGATTGACTTACTATTTGCGGCGATGCGCACCGCGTCATTGTCGCCGTTAATTGAAACGATCGTTTGCAGATCCGCGGTCAATCCCTCTGCTCGATGGCTAAGCCTCCCCTTCTCACACCTATCTCCCAGACCACACGTGCGACACGCAGGTGCACGCGATCGGTATTTCGCATTTCCGTTACCGCGCTTTGGTTGATCCATGATCTCGATGAAGCGCACTCGCTCGCTCGCTCGCTCGTCGCGACGCGAAAAATCGTCGAAAAAGCGCTGTGCACAACGAATTACAAGCTATGTAACAAATATTGATAGAACATTCGCGGCGGAAATAAAAGTGCCACGCGAATTTCGGAACTCTTTCATAGAACTCTAATTCCATTTTCTCCTATTTACATTCAAGACGATAATTTTGGGATTATTTTTTTATGTAATAATTACTAGCATATCATTAAATGCTTATTTGCAAAATTGGATTCTTAAGTTAGACGCATACTGAATGTTACTGTCATATCAATATAATGTCAAATATTTTTATATGAGTATCAAATGAAACTATACATATTGATCGTCATCGACAGAACCGTCGTCAACGTTTAATTATAATCTATGCAAAAGTATTTATCGTTACGTTGATGTGATTATAATGTTACATGTAATATGCATCTAGCTTCATTCAGCGTTACGTATTTAAAGTTTCTTCTCTCAATTCTTTTATTCGAAGTTTATCACGGAATTTGTCTAATCGTTTAGAAAATATTGTCATTAAAATATATCTTAACAACTGTGGAATTTTTTTAGGTATACTATAGTCGCCGAGCACTGTATCGGACCATTCGCGCAAACGGCGCACCGATATTTCCCATTTTTACCAATTTATTGAAACGTCCGAATAGCGTATCCGATATTTTCAATCGAATAAATTTTGCTGCAAAAAATTCTCGGCGTGCGCGTTATTTTAGCTGCACCTGCGATCTCGAGGAGTTACTCGCAGTTGCTGCCTCCACTCCACAGCAATCTCGCCCTTAACTCGGCCGTGCTCGGCGCGCGAAGCGCTTACTCCGCAAGTACAAATTGACTTTTTCTCTTCCCCTCGCGGGACGTGCCTGATTGCTGAAAATGCAAAATAAACGGTAGCGCGGATGGTTATCTCGCCGACCTCAATCCGGCCTATCCTTTTCTTTTTTTTGCCTCGAAACACGTGCGCGATGAAACGAGGATTTCTCTTTGTTCGCGGATTTATCCTGCCGGAAACTTAATTCTTCTCCCCCTCCTCGAAGTCGTTACTTCACCTCGCGCCTCGCGCGCGTTTCTTCGTAACGTCGTTACGCCCGATGGAAATAAAGCGCGACTATCATTGATAAAGAGGTCAATACCGATTTTGCCGAGGGAATCGGCGATAATGTCTTCGTTGAATGTCGGTCCATTAAGCCCGTCCCGTCTGATTCTTGAAAATGCACAGCGAGCAGCGTCGCTGTGCAGGATAAATTAACCGTGACGTTTATCGTTATTTATGAGTATTCTTGGTTGAAAAAAAGGGCAGCGGTCGAGTTTACTCAGCAGATATGTTTCCGTGCTATGAATATAAGCATTACTCTCCGTTGACAGTTAAAATTAGTCGAACTTGAAATTCTTTAAACCGATGCAACAACTTGGTGGTTTTTTATTATCTTTTTTAAAAATACCTTTTCCTTTTTTAGTTTATTTAATACGCCCGTTCTTAATACTCTTCGCTTACATGAAAGTTTTCCATATAGATTTACGAGATTTATGTACGTTATTTAGTCTCGTATCTGTAGTTGTTATCCGAATGTCTCAAGAATATCAGATGAGGGTGATAAAATACGATGCGTACAATATTTACGCGTGAGTTGCAAGAGATGATGTAAAGGAAGGATGCACATATGCACATCTGTATCATCATTTGCGCTTTAAACACAGTGGATTGCTCCGAAACCACTCGTTCCGCCAATAATGGGCAACAATAGTGACACAAAACACACACACGACTGTTGCAATATCGAAGGAAAATACCGGGGCAGCATGTTTCAATATTGCTCGATCGCATCTGAAAATTCAACGGTTTTGTTGCCTTTGAAAATGCAACCAACTACACTGTGTCGTAGATATTGTTTTTCCTCCATTTGACATTTTATTTATTGTATTACCGCTCTCCATTTTCGAAGAGCATCTGGTATCGCAAAAGAATATTCCGTAAAAGATATTTATTAAACATTTCTATTGCTGTTGATGCAAAAATTTTAAGCATCCGATAATTATTTCTCTCTCTCTCTTTCTCTTTCTCTCTCTCTTCCTATCGAAGAATAAATTATATTTCACGATCTTACAATATATCGCGTGCATAATTTCTCGTTTAATTTGTATGAATTCGCAGAAACTCAGAGCATCTTATCTTATAATGCAAGATACATTATACGAGCAAACATTATTTCTCTTGCCCTTATCCATTAAGCGGATTACATCTCTAAGTAGCATAAATTACCTCTGTAAATAAGACAGTTGCCTCAGGTATGCGTCGCTCCTGTTTCAGATGTTTTGAGCACTACCGCGCGGAAAGATGAAGACTGCGGTTGGTTCGCTCCTCCTTCTCCACCTCCTCATCATCGGTGTCGTCTCCGTCGAGTGGAAGCACAGCGCTGTTCTGGACAACAATTTCTTGGTGCTGTGGACGCCCGGCGAGAGGGATGTTACATTCGAGATCCAAGTGAAGACCCTCGGCTATGTCGGACTCGGTTTCACGAAGGACGACGGCGGCGCCGGGGCTGACATGGTCATCGGTTGGGTCGATAATAACGGCCAGGTCCACCTTCAGGTGAGCATCTTTTTACAGAGCATCGAGTAGTATCTGGTTTCCTCTGCGGTTGCCAGCGAATCCCTTTTGCTCATCTCGTTTCTGACCGCGTTGAAATACAGATATGCACGAATCGCGCGTCGTAATTATGAACAAGTATAATATTTATGATTTTAAATAACGATCTACATAGAGTGAAAAGATAGTAATCATTATTCTTCGACGAGAAATTGTGTAAGTTACCATATTCCACAGCTTTTTAGAAGTTTTGATTTTAAATATATTAATGACAAAGTTTCCGCTTAAATTTTTATCAAAAATTTAATATTTGAAATTTATTACATAATATGATTTTATTTATGTATTTATAGTTCTGTGAAAATTGAGCTTTTTTTTATAGATTTCAACTTCTCATTTTTAAATAATTTTATAACAATGCTTTTCCGCACGCGCGCGGTAAAATTGATTGTTTATCGTCATTTATTACATTTTGATAAGAAAACATTGATACATCTGTGTTGATTCTTATTATATCGGACACATTCCATACAGAGAGCTGCAAATGGAAATAGTTACTGTGTAAAGTATTCGCATTAAAGCTTACTGATATTTAAATCAACCACGCCAGCGTTCCGCTTATGTACGCAAAGTGCCGGAGGGGGCGAGAGTAATCGAGAATAATTATTTCCGTGCTACTGATCGAGTGGAGTTCCCCTCTTTGAATATTGTAAAGTCCGCCCTGGCACGCCAACATTGGCGATGGAACGCGCTTAATGGTAGTCATTCGGGAGATAAGTAATGGCTCTCCCGTTTCGATCGGCGCATCGGATAGTTATCAATCATGCCCACTAAAGCCGGCAGCCTGTCATTACGCGTTCTCCTCATTTTGCACGACACTCGGTAACATCGAGGACTTGTTCGCCCGCGGAGGCGATTGCCTTACGTAATTTTTCCGCGAAAATGTGGTTCCCGTAACTTGCTCATTATCCTGATGCTGCCCATCTTCATCGCGACCAAGAATTTCTGCGCGACTATAAAATAAATCTGCTCGCCGTTTATACCAGCTAATCACGTTGTGTCTACATGTCTCTCTCTTTCTCTCTTAAAAAAAAGTGAATATATTATTCAATTATATGTTCAATTCTCAAAGTATATTTAATCTTCAATCATTGTAAAAGACAGTGCGAAAAAATCTAGCCTTTTGAAAAGTGAGAAACTCCAATGTTTTCATTGAGAAAAATAATAGTCATTATTTTTTAATTACTATACGATGTGATTTTCTCTACTCGAGGTCAGAGTTCAACGTATATGACGTAAGATGTACAATTGCTCTGTAAAAGGAACGCTACGTTTCGCGTTAATGATCATGTTACTTTGGCTCCATGTAACGTTATTTAATCTCGCGCCTGCAAAACCCGGATCCGCAAACCTCCCTCGGATATATCATAAACTGTCCGCACTGCGGTTAAATCCAACGCCGCCGTAATAGTTCGGAGTTAATACCATGTGCATGTGCGACGTGAATGCCGGCGGGGGTGGCTCTTTGAATAACAAGACGTCATTCGGACAGAGACTCCGACGCGTTTACGGCACACTAAAGAGAGAGGAGAAAGAGACTCCCGCGAAGGCCCGGGCGTTGTAATCTAGTTTGCGCGATTTCCACGGGAATTTTCGTGGCGGAGCCACGCGGATTATTCTCGGGCGTTTTTAAATTTAAAACGTCGTTAGTCGCGTATCCGGGAACGCGGACCCTCTTCGGGGACTGGACGCGAAAGGGATTACACGCTATCCACTCTTTCATCAACGCGTTACGCGGCCGTTGACAGTTTCTGGCCCGGTTCTTTTACAACATGGCGGGTATGTCGGTTCTTCTTCATCTTTTTTTCTGTTTTTTTATCCTGTTTTTTTTTCTCTCCCCGTATCTCTTTCGCGAAGCGAGCGAACTGAATCAACGAGAATGGGAAGGGCGCCGTTCGTCGTATCGCACGAACTTTTTACCACATTTTTACCGACCAACGCCGCGAAACATTCATTTCGCTTCGCCATTATTCTTCAGTTATCCCGCATAGATTTATCAACGGCTGCTACTTTGCGCTGAGCTTTTCGTCGCATATTAGGACGTCAAAGGAACACCGCGCGGATGCTTCCTCTGTCCATTTTTATTTCGGCCCGAGCCATATAATGCGTGTTATGAAATTTTTCAGCGAGATTATAATGCGGTATATAACACATCGATTTTTCTAAATCAAAGAAAAATTGCGATGAAGTTATTCAAGCAAAGATATAAAAAAAAACTTGACGTTCTCATACTCTTATTATATTCTCATATTTTTATTTTGGTAATTTCATTGATTACTATAAAAATATTTTGTTAATGAAAAAAGTGTGTGTACATGTTAATTAATATAATCTTTGAAATATGTGAATTTTTAATTATTAATATTTAATCTATAAATGGTTATTACAAAAAATATTTGGCCAATAAAATTGCGTAATTAATATTTAATATAAATTTTGAGATATGGGTTTGTCACACGATAACTTGCGTGTTTGACATTTTACAATATTTAAATAATACGTTTCTAAGAAAATGTATAAATTGTCTATCCGTTCTAACTCAAACGGGAATTCGTTTTTGCAGAAAATGAATTGCTTATGTTTATACGATCGCGATTGGTCGATGATGATGTTGAGCTTGCCACATCTACATTATAGAGATCTCCCGTTTCTTGTAAAGTGGAAAGCAATCGTAACCGAGAAGATGGAATATAGAAAAGCAATCTTTCACGAAGTGCGACGAGTAACCATGAGGATTGACCGAAAGTGGTTAGGTCGGTAATACGTAGATCGGTACGTACATAAGTACATATCTCTGTGTCGGTGTTTGAATGATATGATCTAGGATACTCTCTAATACTCTGAAATCCCTGATGGAATGAAAGCGGGGACAATAATTTTAATTCTCATGATCTTATTTATTCAATTTTGATTACTTGTTTCGATCACTTTTAATGATCGCATGTAGATACTGCAATGTATCTATCTTATAAAAGTTTAATACGTAAATCAATTTGATCAAGATAAAAAATTGAATAATAAAATTTAAAATACGATTTAAAACATCTCAAAGTCGCGTGCGTATTATTACGCAAAAAATATATGCTAAGGAAAATCGAATTTCAATATAATATCATGATATTAATTCAGATATACATTTAGTAGAAGCGACAAAATTGTTAAAATTTAAAATGTGCTTTAGCATCGCTCTTCTATGAGATACATTGTATAAATTGATCAACTGGGATACGCACAAGAGCCACGGAAAACGATATTGGAAGAGAGAGAAATTATTCAGGTTTCTCTTCTCAAATGTCATACTATTACTGACTGCTGATGTTCCAAAGGAGATTCCGGTGTATAATAAATTGGGAAACACTGCTCTACTGTAAATGGGATAGATGGAGAGAGGAGGTAGTCGGTTTACAGATCGCGTCCGTCTCGTGTGTCCGCCATTTTTCCGGCAGAGTCGTTGCTCGCTCGTTCCATAATGCATGCCGCGCAATGCTCTATGCGATGCGGCCGCGTCGCCGGACGTTCTCATACGTCGTGAAAGAGCGGAGCCGATAGAGGAGGAGGAGTAGGAAGAGGGGGAGAAAAAAAAAGACGAGGCGAGTCGAGACGGAAAGAAAAAGAGAGAAAGAGGAGGGGGGAGGCTGGCATCTCCAATGGGAGCGAGAAGCTTTTTCGTTATGATCGTAATCTTAGAACCAGACCAGCCGCGGGCATCCGGACCAGCCGGACGACTGCTACTCCGCTCGATTTCTCACTCGTCCCGCAGCCGTCCCTCCGGTCGATACGCGACTTTAATTCGCCATTTGCGTGGGCGATGGAACGCTCCGGAGAACGACGTCCCGCTGGAATCCGATATGCATACCCCGGCATCGAGAGAGATCGCCCGAGTGTTTGTCCACGCGGGGGACTGGCATGTAACGAGCAAAGTCACTCTGATTGCATATATCATATGCATTACACGTGGGAAAAACCGGATTTCAGTTTACCGAGAAATTTCTACGAATGTTCGTTATTGCGGCGCTTAAATATATACGTTTCTTTCTTCTCCGCGAGAGAACAATTATTATCGCAACTATAAATAAATGTATAATAAAAAGTTTGTCCGATTGCGAGAATCTTGTGATTAGATGCGTCGAGATCTTCTTTCGAACGGATATTCAACTCAATTATTTTGCATGGTAAATCTCGCCGCAGCTCGACAATGCCTCCAGCGTCTGGCTGTTTGTTGAATAAATGATACAGCCGGTAATACCGCTAGTCACAGCGCGCGCGCTACTCGTGAAATTCGTGTGCGTAACCGGAATAACGGACGAAAGAGAGGAGAGAGCACGGGAAAGAGAGAGGGATAGGAGAATATGGCAAATAACTGGTTGAATTAATAAAGTCAGCGCAACAGGGAGATAACGCTAAATCATAGAAGACTCGCGAGATTAACCGTTCGCGTGCGTGCGAGCGCGAAATAAAGCGCGCGCGAATTGCGCATTCGACGTTTTGCACGCGCCCACGCATAATCCCCCGTAATGCCCCGGTAGATTGCATTTTCAACGAGACCAAATAATTGCATCCAATTGTGAGATGTTTAATTCGTTATGTTCCTCGCGTATTGTTTTGCGGCCTGTCAGATGACGCGCAATATTCGCGGACAGCTTTATTAAAATATTTTGTGCGCGCAGTTCTTCCCCTCCCGTTATTCGCGGCAGTCTTTTAACGTCGATTTGTATCGTCGCATCTTCCGCTATTTTAATAACGTGGCCGAGCGACGAGAGCGACGGATTAACGCATTCTTTTCCGCGCGAGATGCCGCACGAACTTTTCGCTCAATTTACCGTTCCAGTGTGATTTTTTAATATCTTGCATTGTTTTGAAAAGCGTGATATCTTGTTAAAAAATAACTTGCGAAACATTGCATTTGTACTCTGTTGCATTTTATATTCTGTTAAAAGAGTATA